AGTGAGCAAGCATCCTCAGCACCACAGTCATCCAAGCTGAGCGTCAGCAACCTGAAGGCGCCTCTCCCCAGACCTACCGTGAGTGCCTGGATCTCTTCTTCTGCTTCTGCTGTTGTCTCTTCCAGCTCCGTCTTCGCCTGACGAAGCTGGCTCTCCAGGGCAGCTCGGGCAGCCTGGAGGGCCGTCAGCTGGGACTCACGCTCCTGCAGGGAAAGCTGCAGCTCCGTGAGCTGGCGTTTGAGCTCCAGCTTCTGTTCCTCATGCTCCAGACTAACCTAAGGGAAGAGATGAATGCTCTGTTGATCTTAGAAGAGAAATAGAACACATGACCTGCCTACACCTGGCCTTGGGACACATTCTGAGAAACACATCATTAGGTGATTTCAGTATTGTGTAGATGTCACAAAGTGTAGAGCCTGCTACATGCCTGGACTATATGAGAAAGTCTGTTAGAGTCTAATTGAACCACCCCTGTATATGTGATACATCACATGACTATATTCAAATATCTGAGAAGGTTTCAAAAGCAAAATCATGGGACATCTCTGTGACCTGGTGGTTCGGGCAGTCAGTCCCACATGGCCAACCGCACAGTTCAAGTCCCAGACTCGGCGGCTTGAGAAATACACTGGCTCATGTACATGCATGCCCCAAGTCCTGAGGGAGAGAGAGAGAAGGGATTGTGGCATGACCATATCCTACTAGGGAGTGCTTTTTCCTCTCCCTGTTTTTCTGTCTCTGTTTGGCAAGCACTCATGTCCTCTAGCAGGAAAGGGAAAACCGCACAGCAAGAATCTCAGATGGAAGTAACAACAATTCCTCTTATTAGAAAAGCATTTAAAGGTAAAAGTATATAAACAACATCATATTGGTAACAGAAACACCTTTACAATGGGAATATAAATGTAACAACAGACTGAATTCTATTGGTTTTAAATACTCTTGCTCAGGTTTGTTCTCATTAAGTAACCTGCATCCATGTCACATTATAAGCTAATCATTATTCCTTCCTTCTGCAAAACCATCCACCTACCTATTCAATGTCTCATCTATTCAATTAAGAAAAATTTACTTTGTAAAAAGGAACATGGAAAGGCCAGCCAGTGGTGTGGTGATTAATGTAGTGGCATGGGGATTAAGGCAGCTGGATCTCCCATGACTAACTGTGCAGTTCGAGTTCCAGACCTGGCAACCTGAAAATCATACTTGGTGCGTGTGTGTGCATGCCCAAAATCTGATGAGGAGAATGGAAGAGAAGGAACTGAGGTGTAGCCATTCCCCTGGGGAGGATTTCTCACTCACTCTCTCCCTGGCAAGTGTACATGCCCTGTAGCAAAAACTAGAAGGGGAAAAAAAAAAGGAATACGGAGTAGAGAAGCTAACTCTGGATCTGTTGAAGAATTTATTGGAGTTAAACAAGCAGATAAAAGGAGAGAGAAAATTCCAGGCAAGGCAAGGGTGACATCCAAGGGTAGGGGGGTGAGAGAGACCATGGCATGTCAGTTGACCTAACAAACACTGACAAGGCTGTCCTGGGGAACAGACCCTGTGCTGGGCACTGGGAATGTCAGGCAAATAAAGGACACCCCTGCCTTCAGAGAGCTTACTGTCTATGGAGACTACCGAGATGAACACATGGTGATGAACCAAGCACAGAAGGTCATGGGAACCCAAAGGAGACATCCAGTCTAGTTTCAGAGGGTCAGGGGCGATGCTCCAGAAAAGGTGGCATCCAAGTCCCAAAGGCCATAAGAGTAAAGAGAAAAAGGACCTGCCAAATATCTAACCTAGAGAACCAATAAGATTTATTGGCTTACTTGAGGTGGGGTTGGGGACAAAGAACTGAGGGGAGTCAAGGTGACACCCATGTTTCTGGACAGGTGAAATACACAGAGCCAATTGGAGGAGACAGAGTAGAAGTTCAGTGTTGGGCCTAGATGGTAGCACAACACTAGAAGGCATCACTCTGCAAGGCAATCCCACACGAGAAGGTTCCCAGTTCGAGTCCTAAGATCTCCCTAAGTATGCCAGGCATGATCCAGAGCAGACTGGAGGCTGAGGTGGGTGGTGGTATGAAGACCATTGGAGATTCTCTCTCTCAATAAATAAACTAAAAGAAGAAAAGAAATTCAGTCCTGACATGTTGGACTTGGGCCCATGGGTGACATCCAAGTGGAGCTATCTACTGTCTACTATGACAATGGGTCAGAAACGCAGGAAGAAGGCCTGGGTTGGTGGTCCAGATCTGGGAGGCCTTCAGAAATCAGTGGTAGCTGAAGCCGCAGCTGTGCTCTCTCCAGCACACCACCGACGACAGTGATGATGGGGCGGCACTAAGACAGTGGTAAACGCATTCACAACACTCCAGGCACCACTACGACTCATGTCCCCTTCTTAGCCACCCAATCACGGAGTTAGCACTGTGACCTCCATCTTACAGAGATGCAAACTGTGGTGCTGAGAGATGAAGTACCTGAACAAATGCCACATGGCTTAACGCACAGCAAGGCTGGCATTCAAACCCAGGAAGTCTGGCTCGAGTCCACCCTTGTAAACACTGTGCCTTACTGTTTGTCTTATTAAAACGTCAGCAGTCAGAGCAGATTGGGACTCTCCTAGCGAGCCTGAAAATTCCCTTGATGCCACTTGGCAAAACCATGAGAGGCAGGTGACAGCAAGTTAAGGGGAGGTGAGGAATCGGACGCTATATAGGGAGAACCCTGGAGCCCTTCACCTTTGCTTTGCAGGTCCACAGTTTGCTAGAAAAGTGCCAACACTGCACACATGGGGCTCGACTGGGTCCTTTAAGGTGGACTGACCTTGAGGCTGAGGCCTCTGCCCTCAATCTCAATAGCAGCATGTGGCCAAGAGAAGAGGACTGGCCTTGTTATATTTAAAGCTAAACCCCGAAACTCCCAGGGAGAATACAGAGCCCTAGGCTTCTCATGAAACATTTTAAGTTTCTCCTACTATCCTGGAGAAGAGGGGAGCTAGTTATACTAATTCAAGATAAAAACAACACACTTCCCCCGGGTATTCTGATTGCCCAGATGAGCAACAGCTGCAGGGCAGGTTCCCTGAACAATGGGCATTTATAGAAAAGGAGGGTAAAAGACAGCGCTCTGAAGCTGCTATGCTAAAGAAATCTGTCTGGGTTATTTACACTCACACCTTAAGGCTGACTCTACGAGATATCTTGTTAAACTTACTGAAGAGTAAAAATAAAGCCTGGATAATAAAAGTGAAACTACCACCCAAGTCTATTTTTTTTTTCTTTTTTTTTTTTTTTTTCTGGAGAGGTTTTTGCTATAGGTAGCATGCCTTCGCCAGAGCGAGAGAGACAGAGAGATAGAAAGTGAGAAATCCCCCCCCAGAGGGGATGGCCATGCTGCAATCCCTTCTCCTCCATTCTCCTCTCGGGATCTTGGGCACGCACACACACGCGCCCAGCGTGAGTTTAAGCCACCGGATCCGGGACATGAACCGCGGTCGACTACGTGGGAGTCCAGCGACATAGCCATTACGCTAACTGCTGGTCCCTCCACCCAAGTCTTTAGAAGACCTAGAACAACAACCCGGGCCAGCAGGTAGTGTGGTGGTTAAGGTGCTGGACCTCCACGTGGCCAACCATGGTTTGAGTCCCGGACCTGGTGGTTTGCTTTCTCATTTTCCCTCTCTCTCTTTGTGTCTCTCTCTGGTCAAATTAAAATAAATAAATGAATAAATAAAATTAAATAAATAATTCTTTTTAAAAAAAGACCTAGAAGAACAACCTAGAATGATGGGCTCTCAGACTCCAGGGAGAATCAAAATCACCTGCAATGCTTGTTAAAAATGCAAATTCCTTGGGGTCAGCAGGTGGCATGGTGTTTGAGGCACTGGATTCCCACTTAACTGACCAATTGTGGATCTGGTGGCTTGAAAATTATGCCAGGTGCAAATGCCCAAAAATCCCAAGAATAGAATGGATGAGAAGGGATTACGATATGGCCATCCCTCCTGGGGCAGAGAGTTCTCACTTATCTCTCTCTCTCTTGTCTCTCTCTGCTGAGTGTACACGCCCTATGACAAAAAGGTAAAAAATAAAATAAAATAAAAATACAATTTCTTTATCCCCTGCCAATGTTGAAAACCTAAAGATGATACCAAGAAATCTGGATTTTTTTTTAAGACAGGGTTTGCATTATTGCATTCCTCCAGTCTCAGCCTCCCAAATAACTGGAACTATAGATGTGGACCACCACTCCCAGCTTTTAGGGTAGCCTGGGAATTGAACCCAAGCCTCCCATGCAGACTAGGTCTACAGAGTAACAGCATCCATGAGTGCACAGCACTGCAGCTGGGCCAGCATTTTAAAAGACACCACAGGTGATTCTAAAGGAGGGGTCTACTTGACAACCCCTGAAAGAAACACAAGATAATACATTTTTTCTTGCAGCAAAGTGACCTCATTTGACTACTCTGGGTACAAATTAAGATATGCGTAAACAGAGTATTCCTCGAAGTTTCATTCTCAGACCTCTGTCTGCTTAACAGTCTTTTCTTTACGAAAAATCACTTGCTCTTTGAAGAATTCCATCCCATCACAAACATCTGCATATCGACGAGTGAAACACTGTCTTCCCTCCTAGCCCAGGGTCTGGCTTCCAATACCAGCTCTCCCAAATGCCGGTCCTGCTTCTGCTAACCTGCCCACTAGACGCAGGTCAGGAAGAGGTCTGTCTTGGTGCCACTGCATATCCTTACTAACTGGTACACAGCAGGCATTTAATAAACAGAGTGAGCACATGAGTGACTTCATGGCTTCAATCGACCTCAACCTGTCTACAACCACATTTATGGTATTCTCCTCCCTAAAATCTGCTCTTCCCAGAGTCTCTGCATCTCTGAAGAGAACTACCTTCCATTGAACAAACCTAAGTTTATTTTATTATTTTTTTTTAATTTGCCAGAGGGCATGTGCATTCTCTAGAGAGAGAGTCAGAGAAAGCACCCCAGTAGTGTCTGGTCACACCACAATTTACGATCCCTTCTCCGCCCCCACTCCGCTCGGACAGGATTTTATTTTTGGGGGTGTGCACAAAACTGGAGTGCTTCTCAAGCTACTGGGTCTGAGACTTGAATCGCAGTGAGTAATTTGGGATGCAGCTCCTTTAACCACTAGCCCACAGGGCCAGCCCATGGTTTTGTCTTTCAGTCTTCCACTGTCGGTACGAGACCTCTGCCATCATCAGTGAGCTATGCCACACACCCAGCAGTGCTAAGCACTGGCCATGCACCAGGTCATGCAGCTCTCATTAAATCCCGCTCTGATAATAAAAGTAATCGTTCTGCTCCCATTTGACAGATGTATCAATTATATAACCCCCACAGGACCCTGTGAGGGAGATACAGTCTCACTGACATTTTGTAGATGAAGAACCCAAAGCACGGAGAGATTAGGAACCTTGCAAAGGCCCCCAGCTTGAGTTTTAAGCCACTGGGTCGAGGACTCGAACTGCAGTCAACTAGGTGGGAGTCCAGCGATGTAACCATTAGACAATCTCTACTGGCCCCAATGTCGATTTATCCTTTAAAGCTGGCTGGTTTGGGCCTGAATCCCCGCAACGCTTCCTCTTAGGAGATCACCCCTCGCTCTCACCTCCCTCAGTCTTGTCTCCAGCTCCAGCAGTCGATTCTTGTCACTATGGTCTTGGTGGCTGATTTTCTCCAACTGTTCCTCCAGCTTTCGGTTCTGGGCCTCCAACTTCCCAGCCTGCGTCTCTAGGTAAAATTTCTGTTGCCTGAGTTCTGAAATCATTTCTTCCTGGGCCTTCCTGGTGGGGGTGGTGGGAGGAACCAAAGAAAGTCAGTCTCTTAGAAAGTGAGCTTATCCTCTTATAAGGAATGGAGTGAGACATGTGTCCTCACTAAGTGGACTAAGGTCATTCTCAGGTCAGCATTCTCCTGATCCGGCCCAGCATGGCGATGGTCCCAGCATGGGCAGTCTGGGGGGCAGGAAAGGGCCTCCTCAGAGTACAAGTGTCCCCAAAAGGATTCAGCCAATGGCACAGCAGGAGGGTAGCACTGGGTGAGGCTGGGCCACATGGGAGGCTTTGGTTTAGATCCTGGGCCAACCTGAACAGGCCAGGCACAGCAGCTCACACCTGTGAGCCTAGCTAACTGGGAGGTGGGGGCAGGAGGATCACAACAGGCAAGAACCTGTCCAAAATTCCTCTCTTCCCAGCTCTGTCTTTTTCTCTTCGGTCCTGGGCCTCCAACTTCCCAGCCTGCGTCTCTAGGTAAAATTTCTGTTGCCTGAGTTCTGAAATCATTTCTTCCTGGGCCTTCCTGGTGGGGGTGGTGGGAGGAACCAAAGAAAGTCAGTCTCTTAGGAAGTGAGCTTGTCCTCTTATAAGGACCCTCCTTCCCTCTTCCTGTGCTCATTCATACATACTCTCGCTCATTAAAAAAAGGGTCCCCAGTAACTCATTAAGGAAGACCCTGGGCAAAAAATAATGATGAGGACAAAAAATGGTATTTCTTCCTCACCTTTCCATCACATTTCTTAGCAGTATCAAAAACTAGAATGACTGGAAAACCAAAAGACAGCCCACCAAGTTGGTTTAGAGTAAGATGGGAATGTCTGCGAAAATCACTGAAGAGAGAAACCTATGGGGGAAAAAAAATCCTGGAGACTGTACTTCCCGGGAAGAAAAGATTCCGATCAAAACACTCCAGGAACATAATCAGTCCTTGCTGAACCCTAAAATTCCTCCCCCAGGGCCTAAAGACAATGAAATGGGTGGCTCCACTGGGCATACACAAGATCACCTCTTACTAATTATGGGAGGCAAATGAGGGAACAAGGGCTGCAGCTTTCCAAAAGCAAACTATAAATAGGCTCATTAGAGAGAGCAAAACACTCTGTCATCTGATGGTAATTTGAGGCACTTAAGAAAATCCATCTCTAAAGAGAGGCCACAGAAGAGCAAGACTTAAGAGAAGGCAAAAGCACATAAATATAGGAAGGCTGGGCCCCACTAAGCAGTGATTAAACCTCCTTCCGCCCTGTCACACAGAAAGAGGAAGAAGTTGATGCCCCAGGAGAGAAGACCAAAGTGTGATGATATAAGTAGTTGGAATCTGAAAACTCACATGTTCCTTTGGGTAAAAAGACTGCTGTTTGCCGCAAGTTTATTGGCTTCAGACAATTCCACAATCCTCTGTTCCAGGGATCTGATCTTGGAATCCATGGCATTGATCATCTGAAACACAAGGAACCTTTGAAATCTCACATGCACATGGTGATGCCTAGATGGGAGTGATATGGGCCGTGCAGGTGCGGGTAAGTCTCGTCTGGGTGCCACCAGCAGGTGGCATAATGGTTATGTCACTGGGCGCCCACATAGTTGACCGTGGGTGACCCAGTGGATTAAGAATCACATCGGGTGCGTGTGCATGCATGCCTAAAATCCTGAGAGGAGAATGGAGAAGAAGGGATTGTGGCATGGTCATTCCCCACCCTGACCCCAGGCGGGTAGTGGTTTCTCGCTTTCTCTCTCTCTGTCTCTCCAGCAAGTGCACACACCCTCAAAAAAAACAAAAATCTCTCCTAAATAAGTAAAAGTCTCGTCTGAAATGCTAGCAATTTGACCAGAAGTAATAAGACTCGAGCCGAGACCGTACCCTGAGGGTCACAGATGTTACCACTCAAATGGATGACACCCAGTTGTTTTTACAACAGAGATTTAACATCCCCAAACTCCATAAATGGCCTGCTTTAAAACCACACAGAAGGTCCTATTCAGGAACCTGACATCCTGTGAATAAGCAGGCCTCTTAAGTCCCTGTAATACCTGCCTGGGGCCTAAGCCAGCAGGAGACCCTAATTTGAATCTGCAAGTTCAGATTTATCATAAGTCACGGTGTTGTCATTTTCTGAGCTCCCTTCTCACCAGCTGCTACTGTTATATTGATGGATTCTCTATATCAAAGTGTCTCCAACTTAATGAATAATAAAAATCAGAGGGTATACTGCTTAAAAATATAATTTCCCAGGACGCCTGTTGACTTTTTTTTCCCCCGGAGAGGTTTTTGCTATAGGGTGTGTGAGCTCACCAGAAAGATAGAGACAGAGAGACAGAGAGCGAGAAATCCGCGCCCCCCACCCCATGGCCATGCAGCAATCCTTTCTCCTCCATTCTCCTCCCGGGATCTTGGGCACACACGCACATGCACCCGGCGTGAATTTAAGCCACCGGGTCCAGGGCTTGAACCGCAGTTGACTACATGGGAGTTCAGCGACACAGCCATTACACTAACTGCTGGTCCCAGCGTGTTGAGTTTCTGACATGGATGTTTCGGTGGATTAACAAATGGCAGAGGTGAACCTTATAAGCAACAAGTACTACAATAAAACTACTGCCCACCTGGGTTAGAAAGGAGACAAACAAGCAAACAAAGAGAAATGCCGGTGATGGAGGGTTGCTGGGCATTCTATCAGCAGGTGCTTTCAAGGACAACATTCTAGGAAGGCTGATCAGCATGCATTCTTTTTTTTTTTTTTTTTTTTTTTTTAAGGCTTTTGCCATAGGGCGTGTGTGCTCACCAGAGAGACAGAGAGACAGTGAGAGAGAAAGTAAGAAATCACCACCCAGGAAGGATGTCCATGCGCAATCCCTTCTCCTCCATTCTCCTGTTGGGATTTTGGAGACACACACACACACATATGCCTGGCATGATTTTCAAGCCATTAGGTCCAGGACTTGAACCACGGTCGGCCATGTGGGAGTCCAGAACCTCAGCCACTACGCCACCTGCTGACCCCTCAGCATGCATTCTTGAAGGGGACAAAAGAGCACAAAGCTGGCCACCCTGAGGCTTCACCTCTGTTGCTTGTTGGAGAGGAAGCAGTTTCAGAGAAAATTCCACAGGGTTACACAGCAAAAGGAATTCACCATCTTCCCAGGTGTGAAGTTCTTCATAGTTCAAAAACCCTCCTCTGGGATTCCTGCTACCTACCGCCTTCTGTTCGCTGAGAATTTTGCCTTTCTCGTGGGCCTCTTCCTCGTGTCTCTGCATCAGGTTCTCCAGGCTCTCTTTGTCAGCCAGGTCTTTCTTGATCTGATTGTCCAACACCTTTGCAAACAAAAGAATAAGTGAGCATTCCAAAAGGGGCGCTGGAGAGAAAGTAGG